AGAAAAATAAACGAAAAATCTCCAGGTTAGAGAATAGATTGATAGTGGCCCAATATAGAAGCACCACCGTAGTACTCCCAAGCCCAATTATATGTGTGTAAAACAAAGAACCAATAAACATACTAAAAAATAAATTTAAAATTGTAGTCGATTACCGTAATCAAATAATAAAATATTTTTATGGCTCCAACCGAGTTCCAACAAAATGTACGACGCACCAAACATCGTCCGTACTTTCCTCCTCAAAACCAGCAAACCACTCCTCCCCGTCGCTCCGCTCCCGCTTCCGCTCGGAGCCCCGTCGCCAACCTTCGTCGGCTTTCTCTTAAAATGGAGATTAAAAATGACAAAGTACTATTTTGAATCATATTATAATAAAAGACTGTCCAAATGGAGATTCTCTTAAAATGACAAAGTACTATTTTATTAAATTAATGATCAAAATTATATTACGTAAATAAAAATATTTGGAGTCATATAGAATATAAAACTATACCCAAATGAAGATTCTTATAAACTGACAAAATATTATTTTGTTAAATAAATTTTAAATCATGTAACTAAAAAGCAAGCTTTTAATTTACCGTCCCAACTAGTATTATGTAAAATTTGTTGTGAGGAGGCCATTATGAACTTATTTCACAATATTCTTTTTTCAATGCTTGTAAGGATTTTCTAATTTGAAGTGAGTGACACTAATAACTTCAAGGTTTTCGGTTTCCAGCTTTGATACTTATGTCCAGCCTAACACTGAGGATCGTAATTGGAATGCCTTGCATGCTTGGTCTTTTGATCTATAAATTTCAAAGAAGGCATTTGTCAATGTTCGACGTAATTGAAGGCTTCCTGCAAAGTAACACAAATCTCAAAACAATCCGCTATACATACTCAGATATGAAGAAAATCACAAAAGGCTTTCGAGAAAAACTAGGCCAAGGAGGCTACGGTTCTGTTTACAAAGGAAAACTTCGAAGCGGCCATGATGTAGCGGTCAAAGTACTTGCCAAGCCTAGCTCAAATGGGCAAGATTTCATCAATGAAGTAGCCACAATTGGAAGGATCCATCATGTTAATGTGGTTAAACTTGTCGGGTATTGTGCAGAAAGATCCAAACGCGCCCTTGTCTACGACTTCATGCCTAATGGTTCGCTCGAAAAGTACATATTTAATAAGGAAAAAGGTGATTCACTTAATCTGAAGAGGAAGTACGAGATTGCAATTGGAGTGGCTCGTGGAATTGAGTATTTGCATAGAGGATGCGACATACAAATCCTGCATTTCGACATAAAGCCTCACAACATACTTCTTGACGAAAATTTCACACCTAAAATATCCGATTTTGGTCTGGCAAAGTTTTACTCAACAGATAATACTACAGTGACTCTCACTGCAGTTAGGGGAACAATAGGCTATGTGGCTCCTGAGCTAATGAATAGAAGCATCGGTGGAGTGTCTTACAAGGCCGATGTTTATAGCTTTGGGATGTTGTTGATGGAAATGTTGGGGCTTAACAAAGGGACGGGGCCTAATATTGAAAACAAATCGACCCAATATTTTCCGTGTTGGATATATGATCACTTGAATAAAGGCGAAGACATTGAAATTGGAAATATGTATGAAAATAATGATGATGAGGAAAAGGACGACGATGATGATGCGAGAAAAATGAGGAGAAAGATGACAATAGTTGGATTGTGGTGCATACAGATGAGTCCAAGTGATCGCCCGTCGATGAGTAATGTTTTGAAAATGTTAGAAGGTGAGGATGAAAATATGATGATTCCTCCTCAACCTTCGCAATCATCTGAGATTCCAAGCTATGATGATCAGACTTGGGGAACTGAATCCGAATCAACCGGTTCTGTAGCCTTGCTGCGTAATGATTCTTTAAGTTTTCAATAAGAATTTGAAATAAAGATATGACATTAGTATGATTGTGGTATTTGCTAATTATATTATTTTTGTTATAATCCTTTATTTTTTTATATATAGCAGAGAATTATATTTCTTCCCATGTTCTTTTTCTTTTAATTTGATTCTATTATATATATATATATATATATATATATATATATATATATATATATATATATATATATATATAAAAGGTTAACCGTAAAAAGTTCCCTAAACTTTGGACGTTTTTGCACTTTATCCCCTGAATGAAAAAAACTTGCACGAGCAACCGAAACTCTATTAGTTATAGCACCGGCACCGAAATTACCTATTTAGCCAAATTATTCTCTGAATTGCACACGTGCAACTCACACGAGAAAATAGAGGGGTAATTTTGCTATCTCACCAGGTTTTTAGAAATATTATATAAGAAAGAGAAATATAGAATACAGAGAGAAGAAAAAAAAGAAAAGGAGAAGAATTGGTCATCTTCTTCCTCTTCCCTCTTGGCAGCCGAACGTGAATTTCACCTCGCACAATCAAACATCAACACACCTCTGCTCCGTCGCTGCACCACCACCATCACCACCATTCCCAAACCTGAAATTAAGAATTAATTTCTGCATCTTCAACCCAAAATCTAAAATTTAGTATTAAGAATTTTTAACAAAATTGAAATTCCCAAACAAAGGTGGAATTTAAGATTCTTGCAATAACAACCGCATCAAAAATTTGATTCCTTTGTTGATTCATTCCACCAGAAACGACCACCATCAAATATTTCGTCATGTCCTTCCAAATTTTTACACTCTCTTCTCTGTATTTATCACTATCACTGAAATCCTGAAATCCAAACAAGGCCTAAATCCCGGGAAACTGCATAAAATGGGGGGCGCTGCCCCCGAACCCCCGTAAACTATTAACCAACCATTATATTTTTTATTATATTTATTTTCGAACACCCTTGGCAAAAATTCTGGATTCGCCACTGTCGATAACTATTGTGGGGGTTTAATGCAAGTTTTTAGTAAGATAAGTGGTTCAGTGCATGAAATTTACAATAAAAGTGGAATTTATGCCAAAAAATATTTATTTATTTAAAATTTGAATTATTTTTCTTCAAATTAGGTCAATCATATTTATCCACTCCCATCCCATCCCACCCGCCCACCAGGCCGGTCCGGTCCGGTCTGGCCTGGTCAGATTTTTTTGTAGTTTTTATTTTTGAAAAATATATATATAATTTTTTTTTATCAAAGGTGAGTCGTCAGAGCACCACTTAGTTGACTCAACATTAGTTAACTTCAATTAGTTAATTTTAAACAATCCATTTTTTTTCTTTTTTCTTCTCTATTTTCTTTTAAATTTTTTCCGGTGGAGGGTCGTCGAAACTCTGATTAGCTGAGTCAACATTAGTTAAGTTTAACATTGGTAGAAATATTTTTTTTCGTTTTGTTATTTGGAAAAAACAGTATAATTTTTTTTCCTTTTTATTTTTCTTGTCGTGGGTACTCGGAATTATAGTTAGCTGACTCAACATTATTTAACTTGAAACAATCCAATTTTTTTTCTTTTACTTTTTGTCCAGTGGATGGTTGTCGGACCTCCGGTTAGCTGACTCAACATTAGTTAACTTTAACATTGGTAGATTTTTTATTTTTTTTAAGTAATTTTTTTAGAAATATTTTTTTTAAATTGGTATCAACTAATGTCAAAGTTAACTAACATTGAGTTAGTTAACCGGAGCTCCGACGATCAAGCATCGGAAACAAATTAAAAGGGAAAAAAAAGATATTGGAAAAAAGATAAAGGAAAAAAAAGTTGGAATATCTAATGTCAACTAATGTTGAAGTTAACTAATGCTGAGTCAGCTAATGCAAGTTAAATAATCGGAGCTCAGGTTACCTTTTGCCGGGAAAACAAAATATGTAATGTTAATTAATGTTGAAGTTAATTAATGTTGAGTCAACAAATTGGATCTCCAAAGACTCGCCGCTGGAAAAAAAAGATATAA